TTATTTACATCCTGTTATCCAGCGACCCTGGCAGACGGGCCAACAAAGGATGACAGAGCCGAGAAACCCACGCCGGGTCCCATAAAAAAAAAAAAACAACAAAAAAACCCCTGCAGGTTCCTGGCCATGCAGCCGGCATGCTGAGCACAGAGCGGAGTCGTATACGCACACCAGGCCGTGCAATCGAGCACGTTTTCCCCCCAAACCCTCACACGCCCGTTACGTCTGGGTGTCTACCCTTTCAAACTAAGTTTTCTGCTTGTCAGCACCACGAGAATAAATCCTGAATTATCCTTCAGCAGTGTCCGCAAGGTATATCAGTTGGGAGGTGGAGAGAACGGCAGCGAGAGAAGGAGGGAAACGTGGGACGGAAACAGAGAGAGAGAGAGAGAGAGACAAGGAGGCGTCGTAGATGCAGGTACGAGGCATCTACTGTGGATCTAAGGATGAGTTTCTCTCAGATGTGTTCAGTTGTACAGAGAGAATTATAATAAAGCTTTTGATCACACAGGACTTTACATACCATCTGTTCTCCACACAGTCAGGGGAAGGAAACGCTGCACATGTTCCAAAGAATCCAGCTTGGAATTTAAAGATTACCACTGCTGTCTTATCCAAAAAGTTAAAATATCTATCTATCTATCTATCTATCTATCTATCTATCTATCTATCTATCTATCTATCTATCTATCTATCTATCTATCTGTCTGTCTGTCTGTCTGTCTGTCTGTCTGTCTGTCTGTCTGTCTGTCTGTCTGTCTGTCTGTCTGTCTGTCTGTCTGTCTGTCTGTCTGTCTGTCTGTCTGTCTGTCTGTCTGTCTGTCTGTCTGTCTGTCTGTCTGTCTGTCTGTCTGTCTGTCTATCTATCTATCTATCTATCTATCTATCTATCTATCTATCTATCTATCTATCTATCTATCTATCTATCTATCTATCTATCTATGTCACGGAAACTTCCTGGAGGAAGTAAGAAGGGAAGTAGCAGCTAATCACATGCAGTGGTTAACTAATCTTAGCAGTAGCACATAGCATGCATGGTGGTAGTTAGCATGGAGCTAAACGTCACAATATACCAGCCCTCAGCGAGATTGTTGCATGTTAAACTTTAGGGCAGTACAATGAGAAAAAGGCATTTCTTGTTAGCGGAGATGTGCAGATTTTTGCTAACGAGCTAATTTTTCGCTTAGTGCTTTAGCATCTTCGCTAACTTCAAAAACGTTTAGGGCTTCCTTCCTCTGAATCAACTTCTCAGGATAAATTAGAAGCATCCATTTACTTTGCTGTTTTATACACGTCCAGTTGAATAAAGTTTGGCATTTTGTGTTGAAGTTCTGATTGCAATCTTTTAGGGCTTCTTCAACTGGCTAGATGTTTATGTTCATGCTCTTATTTTGAAGTGAGCGAAGACTGTTCATGCAGAAGTTCCTTTTCCTGTCCTCGTGTTTTCTCTTTTTTGTCTCCCCACCAATAATTTATGTCAAATAAAACACTAATAGGATCAAAATAAAACCTGGACAGTAGAGAGAGCGACATACAATATCTAAGGCCGATATAGAAAATATTAATTATAATGTCTAATTGAAAAGGATATTTTGAAATTCTTAATATGTTTCAGGTTTTGTATGATTAGTTTCAGATTGACACGCATGTCCGTCGTTACTTTTAGCTGTGATTACCCACTGTGGTTGTTTTCCAGTTTATTGCTTTGTCTTCTGAGAAATACTTCTTTACTTTCTCCAGTGTCAGGCAGACAGACATTTTCCCTTTCTGTGTAAAACGTCGGTCTAAGTCACCGCTGAATCATTGAATACTCAGTTAATGAACACTTTTGCACTTGCTGCTCTAAACACCTACAAGTCTGATGGCTGCTTCCTGGGAAGACGCCTCCCACTCAGAGAAAGTGATGCGTTTAATGCTCGCAGTTTTGTTTCCACGCAAGGAGGACTGGATCACTCACAAGTGCAGGAATTATGTGGACCTGCCAGGGACGTCTTCGTGTCCAGGTTAGGTCCCACAGTTTGTCTCGTTTTTTTTTTTTTTTTTTTTAGGATATCAAATTTACAACTGGAGATGAATGTTAATGGACTGGGAACGAATTTGAGTGTCTCAACTCTTAACCTTAGGTGCAGAACTGACTGTAAAGTGGGTTTTACATGTAATTTAATGACCAGTGAGCTGATTGGCCAGTCTGCCTCAAGTTATTCACGTGAATAAGCTGCAGAGGTTGTGAAATAATTAACGAAAGTAGTACGTAAAAAAGATATCCCAAATTTGTAAGTGACACCATCAGATGAGGAATAACGACAGAAAAATACAAAATGTATTGTTGCGTAATGTCTTGGTACTGTGAAGCGTTAGACACAAACATGCTGGCTGTCGTGATCTTGTGCTTTTTAATGGCCTGGGAAGGTTTTCGAAGCTTCATACAGTCTGATTGTTTCAGAAATAAAAAATCAATTGTTGCTCTTTACATTTTTCAGACACATAAAGTTGTACGCAGTGCGAGAGTTATTTAGCACTACCTGCCATTTCTGCATGTTTCCCTTGTCCAAACTGATTGATTAGCATTTTTTGAAAAGCATTTCTGGTTACAGAAAATTCAGAATCCATTTGAGCCGTTGTTGTTTTGATCGTTTTGTCTGTTTTTCTCTGGATATTATTAATGTCTCCCAGTTCCAGTGCTAATTGTTGTTTAGAAATTAAAGATTTTGTTTAATCTTTGAGAGGGTGCGCTCACATTGTTATTATTATCACTATGAGATAGAAATGGTCTCAAAATGGCAATATTATCGTTTATCGCAATACCTTCTGGGACAATTTATTGACTGTCAAAACGATCTTACGCTGTTTCTATTGTACACACTTTTGATAAACGATGATTGTCGGGTGGACAATGAACGAAAAAAAAAACTGGAATATGCTGTGCTTTCCCCCCCCAAATTATATCAGAAATTTGTTTCGATGAACATCACAAATAAGAAGACAGACTAATAAAACCTGTGCTTGGCTTATGCTTATTTAAGCGAAAAAAAACCTCAACACTTCTAATTTGGACTTCTCGCCGTCGTCCAACAACCCCAGTCAAGCTTCATTTCGCTGGCAGTGACTGAGCAGCTCACTGGTGTGGCTCGGCGCTCAGTTCAAGGTGAAGGAGCGAATCATGTGACAGCCTGGCCTCCTCCTCTGTCCTCTGCGCTGCCCTCGGCTCGCAAAGTGGCTCATGGTTACGAGCCAGCAGAGAGAGCAGCTAACACACCGTGTCAGCGGGACGCCCTGTTTAACTTTTCATTGCTTTGCCGAGCGGAGTAGCATTGTGGAGAGTTGACCGTGACGTTGCCCGCTTCCTGTAACCTGACACGGACCTGCAGGGATCCCTTAAAGCAGAACAGCTCCAGTACCTGAGAATGGTTTATATTTATATTCGCCCCCACAGGTGTAAATGTCAGGCAAGTGATTTTTATGTTTTAAGAGTCACTTTTTGAATGAACCATTCAAAGGGCAGGGAGTACAAATCTCACCTTATTGAGTACTTTTCCTAAAAATTCATTCACATTAGATGAGATCCTCCGCAACAAGCACCAAACACACAATTTCTTTAAAAAAAAAAAGACCAGCGATCTTCTGGGATAATTCTAGTTGGATATTTGGCCGCTCTTGTTGCCAGAATTGGTACGCGTCATTTTAATTTTTTAGCTTCGTAGCTACAATCTTAAGCTCAGTCCACAAATGTTCAACAGAGCTGAAGCTGCTTCAGGTCTTTTGTAAAACGAAAGTGGAGGAATTGCAGTACTGCACATTTGGCCGGATTCCCATCGCTCCATTTATAACTTGTAGGGTTAACTTTGATTTTTTGTAAATGCTCTACTGGTACATATTATTTAAACATGTCACTATGATGAGACAGTTTGTGATGAGACAGATGATCTGTGAAAAGATCGATGTCCTCCACCTCCTCCCAGTGCTGCCATTGGTGTCTGAAGAAATGCACGACTCCTAGTCAAAAACAACCAATCAGAGCCAGGAGGAGGGTCTTAGCGCTGTCAATCAACTCATGTGTGTGCTGCTGAATGTACTAATGGCGGATTACAGGAAAACCATTTGTCCACCATCATCGGTTGCCATGCTAACTAGCATTAGCATTCATAACAGGCTATGTTGCGGTGAGCTAGCTGTAGCTTGGCAAAGAGCAAGGGGAAGGTTATACTACAACGTCACAATATAATGACAGTTTTAACAAATATGTAAAAAGCATATTTTTATAAAAGTTACATATACATATTATCTAAAAATGTCATTATGATGTAACATTTGTTATGAGACAGATAATCTGTGAGTAGATCGACCCAAAAAAAGCTTCTGAAAAGGCCCCGACCTTTAACCCATGACTATTGGTCCAGGGAAACTATGAAGAGAGGTCAATGTCCAACAACAATAACAGACGTGAGGTTCAGGTGATGCTTTGCAAAATGTCAGGGAAGGCAAAGATACATCAGGTCACACCAGAAAAACAAACGTCTCAGTGCGTCGTCAGTACCACATTCATATCTTAAATGTACGCTGCTGACTGATGATTCAATGTTTCACCAAGTCGATCAGCCACCGTCAAAACCCAGCGGACTGGATGCTAAACGGGAAGACAAAGACTCCATTTCCCAGAATGCCAGACGTTTGGAGCCCAAACGCTCCAGGATGCGTTTACGTTTTTTTTTTCTGTCCGTACGTTTTGCTGCGTCTCTCACCCACTCGCACACAGACACGCTCACACCCGCTGCGGCAGGGAACCAACACTTTTGGACGCGTATGGCGTGAACATTTCACCGCCTCAGCCAACCTGCTGTAGGCCGCCGCGAGAGGCCGGTGAGCGGGAAAATCTGACCCCTGAGCCACGATGGCGCCGTTTGGCACGCATATGAAATGCAGCGGCGACCGGCAGACACCGACGGATGAAAGGCGGTGGGGGTGGAGAGATGGAGGCTTGGAGGTGTGAAAGCAGAACTTACTTGCAGGACAGCTGGTTAAAACCGTGTATAAAGTAACAGTCTCCTCCGTTAGCGCAGTAGGCCCTTTCTGAGTCGTTGCAGCGCCTCACGTGACTCACACCTGGAGATGGGGTGGTGGTGGTCACTGGCGAGGACGGACACAGACAAAAGACACAGAGGGCTGTTAGCACTCAAGGTGTGTTGAATGAGGACACTTTGAAAATGCAGTGGGAACTTATTTCACAAGCTGTAATATGAAATGGTGCACAGCGTTTGGTTTCTGACGGTAAATCGTGCAGTTCATCAGGGTTTGGACCCTTTTCCCACAGCGTTTTGGAGGAAGGCGGCAAAACGGCGAGATGATTTGAACAGTAGCACCGATTTAAAAAAACAACAACACTCGGTTGTTATTGTTTTAAGTTTCGGCGAATCTATTTTCGTTTTCAACCCAACATTTTTCAGCACATTTGATCAGAGTCGATTCATATTTTCAGCTGAAGTCATATTTTCATTTCGTCACGTCGCTACGCCACAGACCGCTGCTTCTCGAAACAGACGGCGTCACAGAAATAATTCTAGGTACAAATATTGAAGCGACATCTCAAAAGATCCACCAGGAAGTGAAAACATCAGGAAAAATACGGCTCTTGAAAAAGGACAGCGATGCTTAGCAGTCGAGAACATTACTATGAAACTTCTTCTGGCACTTACAAATAAATAATTCACACTCAAGGTTAGCTTGGCGTTGGTGAAATTGCGAGTCTAAAGCCTTAAAGTCAAATTTGCAGCTGAAACAATTAGATGAGAAACTAAAACGAACGTAACGTCCACAGAAAGTTCACGTAGATGTCTGGTGGTCTCTGTACATTCAGTGAAGCACATATTTATCCGCAGCAGGCAAGTTTGATTCAATCAAATTCAGAACCCTTTGACCCCGTCGATCGGATGCGCTTCTTCACTTCGAATTCGAAACAAAAAAAGTCGCCAAAGAGTTCAGCTTCAAAACGCCGCTCCAACCCACCCTGAGGCGCTTCATCAACAGCTCTCCGTTTTCCCTGCGATGTGTTCACGTCGCATTTTAGCCACACGCTGACAGACATGCAGAACGAAGGTCTGGTGCTTACAGATCTGCACGGTGATGATACTCGTGGCGTTTTCTTGTCCTAACGAGTTTTCAGCCACGCAGGTGTAGTTGCCGGAGTCTTCCAGACGGACACGGGTGATCTGCAACTTTGAATTTTTTCTTGAGAGAGGAAGAGACAGAGACACGCTCAGTGAAATGGAAAAAAAAAACTCTGTTTTCTTTTCCAACAACTGGCACATAAACTGGCGGTGGAGAGACTTTGAAATGATTCGTGGAGGAACCATGATCACTACTATTCACCAGGTTCACAGCTAAACTGAACACATAGGCTGCGTTCACACAGCAGGTGTTGATGCGCAATCCCGATTTGTTTTTTTTTTTGTTTTTTTGGGTTGCTGAAATCCGATTTAAAAAAAAAAAGAAAAGAAAAGTGGATTTAGTTTTCTTTTGCCTGCTGTGTGAGCGTAGCCATAGTAACTGACGACCACATGTAATATTGGGAACAAAACATCCTAGAATCAGAGATCTTAATCGCTCTCGTTAAAATAACTTCATTCTTGTGCTTTCACCTCTTTCTTCTGGTAATATTCCACATGTACTCTCATAAAATAGTGACTTTATTCTCGTAATAAATAAAAAAAAAATAAAAAATCTCTTAATCCGGCCCCAGTGCGTCATTATATTATCTTAATGTGACTGACATCCTTCCTTTCCTGTGGGTAGCAGCTCATCTGGTGGAGGATGAACTCGCCAGGTGTCTCTGTTTTGGTTTCTTCCAGGTGATATCCAGACACACCGGACTCACTCAGACACTCACACGTTGGTTTTGATTTTGAGGTCTCTGCCTTTCTGCAGTTCGCGTCCGTCTTTGTACCAGCGGAAGGAAGGGCTGGGGTTCCCCGACGCCTCGCACTTCAAGTACATCTTGCCCCCCTCCAGCAGAGACTGGCCTCGCATCGGCCTCAGCTTGGGAGCAGACGCTGGGCACGCAAAGAGAGAAAAAAAACACACAAGAAACACGTGAGTGCAAAATCAAAGCTTTCGTCATTGGCAAACTAAAGGTTTTCATTGTCTTTTTAGCCGTGTGTATAAGAAATATTTTAAGCACAAGAGCCACTATCAGAAAAACTTCATATATCGTTTATCATTGATCGCGATAAATTTCTTATAAAAGTTCAGATTTATTGTTGTCGTGAAAAAAACCCAATGAAACAATGCCCTTTGTGTCAGTGTTGTTGTTTTTCTCCAGTTTGCTCAACGAGAGCATCAATAATATCAATACATTAGAAAATATGATTAGATGCGGTTACGATGTGCAGGTTAGTGACATAAATCACAACATTCTTACTTTCCAGACAGGCCCTCGAATTTAATAACTAAAAACAAAAGAAGCAAAAAAAAAAAAGAAAAACAGGCACATCTAAATAACTGGGTACAAGGTGAATCCTGGACAGCAGAGATGTTTTAAAAGAGAAGCATTTCAGAGAAAAGAAATCCCAGCTCAAAAAGTCTGCAGAACATTTTCACACTGGGGCAATCTGTGCATATATGTATACGTGTGTGTGTGTGTGTGTGCGTGTGTGTGTGTGTGTGCATGTGTGTGTGTGTGTGCGCGTGCTTCATCTGTCTCCTCTTTCTCTCCTAAAAAAGCGCAGACGACACCAACATGCAGGAGCTAAAGTGAGGAGACAACCCAACTCCATCTGCTAACATTGAGCCTCACACACACACACACACACACACACACACACACACACACACACACACACACCCCCACACACACACACACCCACACACACACACACACACACAAAGAAGCTAGCAGCCTTAAGCAATTACTGCTTTGCTGTTGGATGTGTTAACTTTTAAAAATTAAAGGTTACCTTTTTTCAGGTTAACATTTTATAAGCTTGAGCTTTTTCATTTTTTTTGTCACGTTGCCGCAGCAAACTGTAGCGCGTTTTTACTGGGATTTTACTGTAGAGACCAACACAAAGTGGTTCAAAAATGATGCAGTGAATGTAAAATTTTATATTGTTTTCTAATTTTCTTTTTTACAAACTCAATCCTTGTGGCCGTTTGTGGCTCTGGGGGAGCTGCAGAGATCCTCAGCTCAGATTTAAGACTCTACTGACTGTTAGTCATGCGCTTCACAAATCTGGACTTCAGCAAGAAAAAAAACACCAATTTAAATATTCAAAGAAAATCTTATTTACACAACTTGCACCAAGACTTTGTTAACTATGGGTTATACAAAACATATTACTTTTTTTGTTTGTTTGTTTTATTTTGCACAAAATCATTTTTAGTGAAATTTTAGTCTGGTCAGGTCTGTCTTTATTAGCTGTTTTCAAGCCTGCTGTCACTCTGAATTCAAATAAGAAACGCAATGTTTACACTCACATGTGAAAATGGCAGCAAAATGGTGCACAACTGTGCGACCGAACATCTTGGAAAAGCAGAACTGGAGGCTCCTGCACAACCACAGAACTACTGTAAGTAGTTTCTGAATGCTAAGTCAACAATAAAACACTTGTCTTTTCCAGCAGCCGTTGTACGGCGGTAAAACGAGCTGAACACGCGTGTCGGGGCTCCGTCTGGGTTGCTAGGTAACGGTAACGGTTTTCCAGACACCAGAAAACTTTCTCGCCAAAAGAACAGCTGGGTGTTTTACAAGCACTCGGACTGTTTTTAGAAGCAGTTGAGACGGGTCCCCTTTAACTTGATTACTGCTAAAAGACGAATGAGCAGCAGCACGTTGTTGGGATCCAGTGATCACATTTTGTGAGCGTCAGTCCTGTCACAGACTCTTGCTGCTGACGGATAAATCCACATCACGTCTCAGTAAATCACCTTCGATTCACCACATGCTGACTCGCTCTGCCTCCACCTCTCCTGGCCCAGAGTGAGTTATGCTGCAGAACAGCAGCGAGTGTCACAGACATCATCTTTTCTGTTTTTTTTCTTTTTTTGCTGAATAATTTGCCAGGTATTTTAGTGGCTTGTTGAGATGTCACAGACTCGGGACCAGATCCCTTTCATATCCGCTTGATGCAGATATGAACATAAAAAAAAAAAAAACAGTTTAACGTATCTAAGCTTCAGACGGGAATCTGTGTTTCACTTGCTGTTAGAAATAAAACAGTTTAACAAGCTAAATGGTTTTTGAAACTTTCAGGTGTTTGACTTTTAGGACTCAAGTTGTGGATAAGTTGGTTATTTGTTAATCAAGTAACTTAATTTTTAAAGATATTTGAAGTAGTCCCTTTTGTTTAACAGCATTAATATGGGTTAGAAAGAAATTCAATTTTTTATTTATTACTTTAAAACACTTTAAAACAACAATTTGTCGCAACATAAAATGCTGCGACAAGAAACTGTCCACACTATTTCACCTACAAGGGGCGCTATTTACCTCCTCCAAATTGAAGAAAGCTAAATAACAGACAGCAAAAGTATGACCAAGTTGCATTTCATTTATAACTGTTATTCGTAACATTTTATTGACTATCTGGAAACAGGTTTTCTACATCGAGGGTCCTTCAGCGTGTCCCGTGTCCGGCCAGCCGTGTCCTCCCAGTGGGACGCGCCGCAAAACCGCAGGTGAGAACCCAATCTGTCTGTCCATCTGTCCACCGTGACATCATTCGCCACACGCCGAGGCTTTCCACACATAAGATAAGAAACCAGCTCACTTCACATCCGGGAAGAGACCTGAAGGCCCTGCATGAACAAACTGAGCGAGGAGACGGAGGCAGCTTGGAGAACGTGGACGTAACTGGACGCTTTTCAGCAGGAGGATGTAACATTTCAGCGTCGACGGACCGTGACGTCTCCGCCTCACACCCGAGGATCTGTGCGGCTCAACATGGCGCCATCTTGATTCAGATTCACAAGTTCCAACGTTAAGCCATCCTCCCCTTCCCCAAGAAATGCCTGGATACGGGGTTAAACGACAACAAGTCTGACGCAAAAGTGATCATAAAATCCTTTGAGCAACTTAAAGGACATGGCAGGCCCACTGCTGCAAGCGTCAGATTACACCAGATTACGCAACTACACTTCATCCTGAATCACCAGGCACGAATGTAACGGCGGCGTGTTACGGCCATTATGGATAGAAAAAAAGGTGTCCAAAAAAACCTGAAATTTTGACATCAAACCCACAAACTTTCTATAAAAATAACTAACTTAAAAATAACAATTGAAAGTTGAAATGCTGCAAGAAAAACAAATTCTGGGGTTTTCCACATTAATCTCAGAAATTTTAGAAAGAATTTGAACCTTTCTGGGTTTGAAAAGTCAAAAAAAAAAACACTTACTAGAAAGAGTCGCAGTACAGTCAGTGAAAACCTCCAACTCAAACTGTTGCAGCTTTATGTTCAGCAAAATATACGTTGATACATCTAGATTTATATGATGCTTCATCACTTATTGTCCTAACATCTTACCAAACCTCTTACAGTCACACTGACTGTGAAGCTTCTGGTGAAATATTGCCACATAACTTTTTTTCACTCCCAGAAAACGGACAAAATGAGCCCAAAGTGTTTTGTTTAAACTCATATTAGATCCTGGGTTCTAGTTTCCTTCGTACAGTGCAACAGCTTCTCTTTGTTTGTTTCAGAGGCTGCAGAAACAGCGACTGGTTAGCCCTGCCGCCCGGTGGAGAATCTGAGCGATCAGCGCTGAGATCGTCTGCGTGGCCTCGATGTTTACGTCAAGGCCCGTCGGCCTTTGACCCCTTCTTGTTGTGGCAAAAGCGTTTTGCTTTCTTCGTGCGTTTCCCCAGAAATGAAGGAGATCTCTTGAACAAGCAGGCTGATTTTCTTAAATAGGCCACTGAGACACGTTCCACAACTAATATATACAGAAATTAACAGCTACACATTCAGAAGGCGAATGCTCATCAGTTCTGGATGGTTTTTAAAAAATATATATTTTATTTAGCTATTTATCTTCTTAATCAATTTGTAATTTTTTATTTCCTTCAGGCTGTTTAAAATCGCATATCGCTCGCTGTGAATGACCAAAGGATTCATAGGAAGCATGTTAAATAAAAATTTATCTTTTGGCATTTATGTTATTTTTACTGTCCACAGCGTCGCCACGACAAATAGTTTTCTAAAGGCCGTGGAGGAGCCTGCTTGCTCTGATCTTCCTGTGTTTTGCTTTGGATTTTTTCCTGTTTTGTTGTTTTTTTTTTTTTTTTTGTTTTGCTGGAGACAAACAGGTAATCCCAGGAACTGTAATCTAATAACAATGTACCATATGTGGAAAAGAGATGAGATTCTGCAACGGGAGGAGGCGATTTATTCCAGCGGCTCTGATCTGGCATTTAGCTTCACAATGACAAAAAACACCCGGCAAATAATCGTCCTTGTTTCTGCGCTTTTCCAAAAGCGAGTCACCAAAAGCTTCGCTGTCAGTAAACGCATCAGGAGTGATTAAGAGTTAATGAGAAATGCCACCAAGGAGAAAGACAAAACAAAACACAAAGACGCAGATGAAGAAGAACAGGAAACGTAAAGAGTCTGCTGCTCTCACTCTGAACGGCTCCGAGTTACACTTTGTTTTTTAATATATGAATGATTTGCACTGTAGCAATGCAGCATCGCAAAAGGTCCTGCAGCAACGGCAGCTCTGACTTCTCCCAGGACCACAAGGTCCATCTGAAATCCGTGTGGGAGTCAACGGATCGAGGCGCTAAGTTGAAAATGTAGGTCTCCGCAGACGGGAGTTTTTTTTTCTTTTTCCTCTGAAGTCTGGTGGCAACTCTATGAGTAGGAGGTTAACAAACAGAGGGGGGGACTCATGCGTCCAGCCTTGTTAACAACCAGTCAGTCTGGTGACGGATTCCTACAAACTCTCTGGAGGTGTCAGTTCGGTCGCATCCGCAGAGCGGCCGGTCTGCTTCCACACAGACCCCCCTACGGAGGACATTTAGTGCTTAAAACAGATGAGGAAATTGATTAGTCAT